TGTGTGTCGCTGTTTTTGTGGCGGTTGCTTCTGATATTTTGCATTGTCTGGAAAAAGTGTTCGGATTGTTGTGTTTCATGATTGCGGTGTTGATTTTAGGGTTTTGGGTTCATGTTTCCTGTATAGATTTTTGATTGCTGGTTTCGATTTGTTGGTGCAATTTGTTCCCTTGAAGTTTCGTTTTGTAATTTTTGACTGGGAATTAGTGAATTGGTATTGTATTTGCTGAGGGTTTTTCTGATTACTATCCATTAGTTTGTTTAGTGTCCCTTACTTTTACAAATATGGCTTATTGCATTGACACAGTATGGATCATGTTTTGATGGTTTTCTCATGTATCTACAGATTTAAATTTAAAGAAATCTCACCTTCAGTAATTCTCAACAATGGACCATAAGACTATTGAATTGGATCAAGGATGGGATTGCATACAGAAGGGGATCACAAAATTGAAGAAGATTTTGGAGGAGCAGCCAGAGCAACCATTTAGCGTAGAAGAAAAAATGAACCTTTACACGTAACCTTCTATTTGCTGTTTTCGATTGTGAGTTTTTGTTAACAACCGTTTTGAACATATTGTCATGATCGTTTCATTAATTCCAATTGCAGAACAATCTACAACATGTGTACACAGAAGCCTCCTCATGATTATTCCCAACAGCTTTATGACAAGTACCGGGAAGCTTTCGAGGAGTATATTACTTCAACGGTAAGGAACATTGATGCTTATCCCATATTCTTAACTTTATTGGATTGTAAAAATACTTTATTGGATTGTAAAAATGCTTGTATCATGTAGACTAACTCTCTGTCTTTTAGACGATGTTTCTGTCCATCTGTTTAGACAGTGTTGTGCTATGTTCTGTTATTGTTGACTGCAGTGTGCATGTTCTTTTGTAGATCCTCTATTATTATTGATATATTTCTATTGAATCTATCATTTATTCTCTTCATTGTATTAAAAAGGGGTGTCTAATCCTTTAATTATAAGAACACCTATTATTTCCAGGAAT